CCCCCTGTGTGCAGCGCCAGGCTCCTTCACACCTGGTGAGGGATACGATGCATGTTTAGTCTGAGTTCAAACATTGATTGGGCTCGTGATTGGTATTCTAGCATTCTGCTTCGCTACTTGTACTACGTGTGTGAGGTCAGTCCTTGTCAGGTCAGTCTTTGTATCTAAGTCTTCCCTGCGCTATTCAGCACTTTTGTATGTATAAGAATGCACATTGTCTGTCGAGATTCTACTCTCACCGCATTGTCCATTTCAGTCCTTTTCGTCACATTGCAGTTCCTCGGTTATTACGAACATCACATATCTGTGCATGTATCAGAGAGAAAGAGAGAGAGAGAGAGAGAGAGAGAAGCCATATCCATAAGAACTTGTCCACAAGATGGTTTTTGAGCTGATTGTTGCATGTGGCTTAGGGAGGCAGGGCACTGTTTCTGGTTTCCCCAATTATTTTTTATCTCTTTGTTAAATTCTGATTTTCTGTTGAGTTGCAGTTGAGTGTGATCTCATCTCGATGAATTGTATGAGTGAGATGATGGATGGTGTTTGAGATTGATTTTCCACCTTCCCACCCGCGACAACCTCCTCCTACCCTGGACCAGTCTTTCATCCCACTTAACAAGCCTGAAAGGTTGGGGTATTGTTCGATAAGGAAAATGATGATGCAGACAATATCAAAAGAAAGGCACAGTGTCACCTTGAACTGGACAAGGAACTCAAGAGAGAAAGTATGGGCGACTAGATGCAAATGGAGACAAACCAAGGATTTGCTCCAGATGAATGTGGAGGAGGACCCAAAGAATAATAGCCAAGTTCCAATTGGTTTACTTGCAAACAGCAGCGTGGTGACTACCAAAGCGAAATATATAGACTGGGGAGACTTGCACGACTCAAAGGGCCACACCACGGGAAAAGCATCTAGAGGAACGGAAAACAGTCTGGGTGTGAGAACAGCATACTTTCACCGGCCTCTGCAGTTCTCGAAGCATTCTAGAACTTGCAAATCTGACAGCCTATGCATAGGCTGACAGTAATTCAAGAAGGAAGCAAGGCATGCCCGACCGTTAATCCTCCTGAAAGAGAGCAATCAAATGCTTTTAAGGGGGGTCTAGCAGTTAGGGGCGTGAGGCCTAGTAGAGACTAAGTATCGGGATATAGGGATGAGGCAGGTGGGGGTGGGCTACTGAAAGGCTCTAAGGCAGGTATTTCTCGATCTGAATGTTCTTCCAAAAAACAAAAGGGCCCTTTGCATTTAGTACTGTATAGATGTCTGTTTTCTTCTATTAGCCCCTTCGAGGCTGTTTTCATCAGTACTTGGTGCAAGTTGTTCTCAGATTTTTCTCAAAAAAAAAACCTATCATCAAAGGGCATCCCTGCTCAGTTTGTAGTAACCCTGTTCAGAATTAGCCTGGGGCCCAGAACTGGGCCCCAGGCAACGCAGACCTGAGTTGGTCTGCGCTGCGCTGTGTGACCACAACACGCCCAGGCCTGAGTCTGTCGCGTACGGCTGTGTGGCCGAACGCTGCACACAGGAAATTCAAGGGTCAAGTCAACTGTAGAGTCAAAGGTACTGCACCCAGGCCCATGGTTGGATACACTTACTTGTTGTGTGCAGGTACCCAGACAGCATCCAGGCCGGAGGGAATTCGGTTTCAGACCAATCTGGGCCCTCGTTTGCATTGAGATCTGGACGGTTGAGGGATGCAGCATCTGGGGTCCAGACCCGGCGTCAACGCTACATAAGCGCTGACTTCCTGGCTTTGACATTCATTCAGTCTTACGTCGATGCTGACTTCACGCGTTGACGACGACTCTGGCTCGACGTTGTGATGCTGGTTGAGCGCTGGCTTTGTGCCGGCATTGTCTCTACGGCGACGCGCTGCTGGTCCGGCATGGTGGCTGGCTTGCACCTGTCTTCTTGGCATGCTGACGTGGCAGCTGCCACGCGTTGCTGCTGAAGTGGCCGCTGCCACCTGTTATATCTGCTGATGTGGCTGGGCCATGTGACCGACACTGCTGTTTTTATTCATCGTCACTCGGGAGGAGATCAGGACTGTGGAGAGAGATCGTGGATACTTACCTGATTGTCTTCATTTTGACATTGCTCCAGCGCTGATGAGGGACTAATTAGACGTGCCATGTGGCACAGTGAGGTTACTTCAGATACTCGTTCAGACTATTGGTTATTGAGGTGGCGATTGAGGAGGGAGCCTGAAGTAGGAGTGGGCCTTGTATTTATTTCCTCTCTTTTGTCTAATCTCACTCCTCTCTCCTTCGTCTGTGTATGATTATCCCATCTCATTCTATCTGGACACGGTTCTGATTATTGATAATCATCAGCAGTTTGATATTCATCTGGGGCTTGCATTGTTGACAAGTGTCTTCACGATCTGGGTTCATTGCAAGTTAACCCCCTGGTTCCGGGGCAATCAAGGCTGGCAGGGGGAGATCTTCTTAAAATTTTTCACAATCTTTCTCAAAAAAAGACCCTTGAGAATGCCTTAGGATTCTGGGTACTCCTTGCAACTCATTTTAGGCATCTTTGATGCTGTTATATTCATGGACCTGCGATTTTTCGATGCCAGAACGACGCTGACCGGTGCTGGGGGGTTGCCCTGTAACCTGTTGATAGCAGGAGCGTGAGGCGTGGTAGAGAGATCTGGGGATGCCTTGGGCCGGGCATTCCAAGGGAAAACCAAGGGTTGCTGTCGGGACGACGCTGGCCGGAGCTGGGGTGAGTTGTGTTGCCCTGTAACCTAGCAGGGTGGGGGCATGAGGCCTGGGAGAGCTCGGCAGGAATTAGACAGTGTTAGAGAATTTTAGAGTGTTTTGTCGGGGAGTTCAGGGGGTCTGAGCATTCGAAGGACTTCTGTGGTAATTGATGCTTGAGTAGCCTAGCAATAGGTCGACAGGTATCCACCTTCTTCCTAAATCTTCCTGAGTTTTCAGATTGTTCTTAGCGGAAGCCAGGTAATGGCCCTGGTATTTCAAATCATTTGTATATTCTACATGGGACGCTGGGCCCAGTTCCCAGCACGTGTTGCTCCCCACAAATTTGTCGGGGAGTCCAGGGGGTCTGAGCATTCGAAGGACTTTTGTGGCAATTGCTGCTTGAGTAGCCTAGCAATAGGTCAACAGTTATCCACCTTCCTAAATCTTCCTGAATAGTTTTCAGATTGATCTTAGCCGAAGCCAGGTAATGGCCCTGGTATTTCAAATCATTTGTATATTCTACATGGGACGCTGGGCCTGGTTCCCAGCACGTGTTGCTCCCCACAAATAGATTGGAGCGTTTGTCCCCAAAAAAAAAAAAAAAAAAAAAAAAAAAAAAAAACAGGGGGATCCTTCAGCCTTAAACCACGAATTTGGCTGGGGCCATGTGCTGGTGGTTTATTGAAGGCAGTGCATAATGCAGGTTCTATTGTATGTCATTCATAGTTGCCGGTGGAAATGAACCAAAGTGTTGCTCCCCAGAATAGAACGGAGCCAGCACCCTAAGGCCCTGTTATGGTGAAACAATGCCTGGCCGTTCACTCTATGGGGCCCAGGTTGACTTACTCGGGGCCTGGAGGGGGCCTGAGCCCTGATGAACCCGTAGTCTATTGACCCGAGGACTTCTGTTAATGCCCATAGGACCCAACAGCCCAAGTTTTCTGGCCAAAAGGTACGACCTAAGACAACTGCAATGCTGGCTTTCAGCACGGTTCTCTACAGCTTGATCTGTCATTGCAAATCTGACAATTGTGTCCATTTTGATAGTGTACAAAATGGTGAATGATGAAATTTGTGTTTGTGTTTGAGGGGGCGGTGGGGGCGGCTGCTATTTGTAACGCATTGGCACTATAATGTTTCCTCCTCTATTGTGAGAATGCAGTGTGACCCGGAGGATGAAAGCGATTGTGATTCTGCCTGTAATGGTGGTCTTCCAAACACTGCACTGAGGTACATTGAAGAGGCAGGTGGGCTGATGACGGAGGAAGATTACCCATACACTGGAAGTGCTGGAACGTGCCAATTCGACAAAAACAAGGTTGCTGCTGCTGTGGGTGAATTTCACTCTGTGTCTGTCGATGAAGAACAGGTATGATTGTGCTAGTCATGAACCAGCGTCATTGATGATAAGTTGACATCCAAATCATATGACCAAATTGCCTACAAAAATGTTTTCGCTAATTCTTGTTCTCACCTGTGTATATGGTCGATGCATTCCGGAACGTGTCTTGCTCCTCTTGGTTTTCTTCTTCTTCTTCTTCTTCTTTGAAAGGCCTTCCACGATTCAGGCCTCAAATTCGGGTCTCAGGGTCAGAGACCGGGTTCGTCAAATTAAGAAAAGTCAGTCGGGTACTTCAGCAGTCCAGTCCAACAGGCACCTCTTAGAGGCAAGAGTCACGTCTCATAGTGAAAAGCCATATTGTGGAGTCACAGTCCTCAGTCAAAACCCATATGCCAAAATCGGAAAGTCACGACTCTTAAGGCCCAACCAGCAGCAGACCAATGGAAATTCGGGAAGGTTCCAGGCCTTGACATTCAGAAGCAGACAGGCCGTGGGGATGTGGTACCGGAACCAGTCAGGCCCCAGAAAGCAGAGGCTGGCACGAGTTGAAGTGCATTCCAATTCTACAAAAGGACTGGCCAGCCTACCATTCGGGCAGATTGCTCATTCGCAAGAAGTGCGGAAGTGGTGGTGCACTTGTGCGCTGTAGTGAAGGGCAGAGCGCTGAAGCCAGAGTGCTGCACTAAGGGGGAGAGAGAGAGAGGAAGTGTTAGCGCTTGCAGGGAGAAGGCTGGCATAGCTGCGCCAGTGCAGAGTGTTAGTAGTAGACTCCAGATAGTTAGTAGGCTTATCAATGGGTGTATTCAGAGTAGATCCTTGAGTAGAAGTTAGTGAGTGTGCATGCAAGTAGGGAGAGAAGATACAGCAAGGACATAGCTAGAGAGGAGACTGGCAAGGAAGATACATAAGAGAGAAGAGCAGAGAGGAAGGGATACTTACCTAATAGTTTATCCTGGTTAATGGTTACCTTTGGTATGCGCTGTTGAGCACTGGTGACTTGAACTCTTATTGCTCTTGTAGCAACTTGTTGGAATTCACAAGGTGCGTCACCTGGTCTTAATCTCTCTGGTCTTCAGTGTGAACTTCGTGTGATCTCATATATGCACGAGGTGTGAATAAGTGCACTATCCTGGTTAATGGTTACCTTTGGTATGCGCTGTTGAGCACTGGTGACTTGAACTCTTATTGCTCTTGTAGCAACTTGTTGGAATTCACAAGGTGCGTCACCTGGTCTTAATCTCTCTGGTCTTCAGTGTGAACTTCGTGTGATCTCATATATGCACGAGGTGTGAATGTGTGCACTCACTGGTGTTGAATTATTGAGGTTCATTGCAAACTGGTATCAGAGCAGTTGCTCGTTACACCCATTGGACATCGTTGGCAACGATTAAGGCCGGCGAGAAGGGAAGATGAGAGTGAGTGGAGTGGGGAGAAGACTGACGAAGGGGGGTAAAGAAGAAGGCCGAAGAAGAAGTGGCTTGTTACGTACCTGCTGTTGTTGCGTTGAAGAGTTGTAGTGGCGGTGGAGCTTCATCAACGGAACGTTCATGGGAGTGAAGTGCATCCCCTCCATTAAACCTGTATTGCTTGCTGATCTGTCTTGGTGTTTGGTACCTTCCTCATCCTATTGTCGCTGCTGCTGGGCTGGTCCAAATCTCGTGACAAAGTTGAGTCTAGCAACCAGTCCAATCGTTAAAAAAAAAAAAAAAAAAACTATACATACATAGTTCTGGGGAGGTATTCAGCAGTCAGCAACGGTCAGACCCTTGTAGGTTAGTAGTTAGTAAAAGGGTGTTAGATCTAAGTGGTGAGGAGGTGGAGGCCGCTTACCTGTGCCTTTGATCACCATGGATGATTATCCCATGTTCGCACTCTTGTCCCTGTCTATGCTATGGGGACCCCTTCTTCGTTTATTCTTTCCTCTTGGGTTCCAGTGAACCTTCTTTTTGCATATGATGCTGAGGTCTGGGAAGTCAACGCAGGCTCAGACAGTTGAGGAACGGACGGAGATAGACCGGCGCTTAGCAGAAAAGAAGAGAGAGGAGGTGAAGAAGAAGTTGTTGGAAGAGAAAGAAAAGATGGAGAAGGAGATGAAGGAAGAGCGAAAAATGTTGGAGTTGAAAGAAGAAAAAGAAGAAGAAGAAGAAGAAAAAGAAGAAGAAGGAAAGAAAGATGAAGGAGAAAGGCTGGAAAGGAGAAGAACCCAGCCGCAGGAAGAAAAGGCCGAAAGTAGTCAGGCCGGGGCAGTCCGTATTCGGCAGCAGGAGGCTTTGAACTGGATTGAACAGTTTCGGTACAGGACGGAGTTCCCAGAAGAGATGGAGGAAGAGAAAAAATGCCTTTATAAGTAAGGTCGCATCTGCAGCAGATGAGGCAGAGAAGAATTTGCTGCTGGAGGAGAAGAAAGCAGAGTTGAATAACAAGATGGTGGCGGCAAAAATGCGAGAGTATAATGAGAAGAAAAGGATGAAAGCGGAGGGGGAGAGGTTGCAGAAATTGCTGCAAGAGCAGAAAGGTAAACAGGCTGCTGTAGAAGAGAGACTCTCCCTCTTAACATATACCCTCCTCCACACCAACCAAGAGCTTGTTGCACTCAACTGGACAGTCAACCGAATGGAATTGCATCAAGGGGAGTTTGAAGGCGTTTGGAATAGTTTCCTGTGCAGTGCCTCCGAACAGATTGATCACCTTATCTTTGAGTACGTGGACCAATTAGACAATGCCCTTGTCAAGAGATTGACTGACCCTGCCGTAGTAAGTAAGTTGAAGATTGGAGGTGCGGGAGGGGAGATGGAGGCGATGATGGAGATGATGGGGACAAAAATGGAAAGCGTCCCAGAAAGGATAAAAACGGTGAAGCGGAGGAATCCAGGCAAAAAATGAAGGTGCCCTGGACTTATACGGGGAAGGAGGAAAGCATCTTCCACTGGGAGGCGGCTATGGGAACATACCTATATGCACAAAAGATTCCGTACTGGCACCGGGTGCTAATGGCAAGTTCGTGTATGGCAGGGGACGCAATGAGTCTCGCAATCTCTTTGGTGAAAGAGGCTGGCTGCACAACCATGGTTGAGTATTCACAACAAATGTGGATCAAAGACTTCTTCAAAGCCCTTAGAGAAAGGTTTGAAGATAATAACCTGGCCCGTAGGACTGAGTCTTTGATCCTTATTACTAGTGACCGTAAATGGAAGAGTGTGTTAGCTTTCAAGGCCACAATGGATGAACTGTTGCAATGCCCGGATCACGGACTAACACCGGCAAAGTTCCTAAATAACTTCGATAGAGCACTCCCAGATCCCTTAAAAACACAACTATATCCCCGTACCAAAGAAGAAGGAATGACATACGAGAAGTTTAGCAAGATCACCGTAGATCTTGGTGGTTTCCTGCAAGAGGCACAATATTGCCATTATTGGAAATACTTGCAGGCCGGCAAGAAATGGACCGGACGATCTCAGGTAGTATAGCAGGCAAAGATAACTTACTGGTCACTTTCGAAGGAGGAGTGGAGTCACTTACCTATGACCAGATAGACTATGGGTTAGAAGAAGGAAATAATAGTCACTTAGCCTAGGGAGGGGACTATGCAGCTGTTGCAGCCTGCGGGGGAGGGCGACAAGGAGAAAGAGGCTGTGGTAGAGGAAGAGAAGGCCACGGTCGTGGTGGAGGAAGAGGACCCGCCGCCCAGTGGGGTAGTGGCGAAGGTTGCTACTATGTGGGAGGTAGGGGCAATGGTCCCTCGCAAGGTGGAAGAGGTTCCTACTCCACAGGGGGAAGAGGTAGAGGTAGACGACCATACCCGGAACACCCAGGGATAGCTGAAGGCAAACCTTGGTTAGATATGGGTATAGACGAGAAAGTATAGGAAGAGCGTTGCAAAGCTGGTCAATGTTTCAAATGTGGTGACCCGACCACATTATTCCCTTCTGTCCTGAATATAGGTACCCAAAAGGAAACAGACAGTAGAGGTTGCAGTTGCCTCTATAGGGACTATGGATGCAAGCAGACTGCCAACCTCCCAGAGGTCCCAATGGTAGAGACTGAGACAGTAGTTGGTCCCCACTTAGTTAGCTGCCCTAAAGTTGCTCGTCCTAGGACTTCTCTAGGTGGTTGCCTCACAAGTATAGGTGATGGACTGATCATTCATCGTCGCGTTTGGGCTGAAATGAAGAAAAAGAAAGGGCAGTTATTAATTGCAAACGTAGAAGTAGGCAAAGTAAGAGTGGGTGCGTTAATAGATAGTGAGTCAACGCACAGGTATATAAGCAAGAAAGGGCTGCAGAAGATGCGCCTAGGCCTGAAGCCTGTCATAAGTAAGCTAGGAGTCAATAGAGAAATGATAGTAGATAGCTATGTTGAAGGGGTTAGGGGATACTTTTGGTTAGAGGCAGGGGGTAAGACGGAACGTGTTCTGCACTCCCTGACACCCTTAGTGGAAGACAGTCTCCCTTTCGACACGATTCTCGGGACTGATTGGGGTGAGGCTGCCGATGCGGATGTGAAACTGGGCGAGCATGAGTGTTGTTTGGCTAGTCCTACAGGTTGAAAGAAGGGAATTTGACTTTACTATGCATATGGCGTAGAAAATGGCTTATCCCTTTGTTGCATGAGTGCCCCTGCGTTCTCCCGGCATGTGGTCAAGAATGACCTCACCGACCAAGTATTTATTGCTTATGTGCGCCCGATGAGTGAAGAAAAGAAAGAGGGAGAGCCAATACCCCCCAATGTGCAAAAGGTGCTTATTGAGTTCGTTGATGTTTGAGAGGCCCCAAGTGGAGTGGTGGAGAGAGAAACCAAGCACCGGATAGAGTTAGAACGTGGTAGCCGTTTTCCCAAAGGCCCTATCTATAGGATGTCTCCAAAAGAGTTGGATGAACTGCGAAAGCAATTGGATGAGTTGCTTGAGAAGGGATGGGATTAAACCAAGTTCCTCGCCATTTGGTGCACCAGTCTTGTTTGTGCCAAAGAAGGGCGGCGAACTGCGTATGTGCATAGACTATAGGGGACTCGACGCAATATCAGTT